TCGGGGACGAATATATCTTTGGTCTGGAATCGAGTAGGTGTAAAAAGATAAATTTGACATTCTACTCTGCAAATATTGAATAAAGGCTGAAGAAGGTTTTGAAACGGAGCTGTCAGACAGAAATTGCCCTGGCAAAACTAATGGCTGTCCGAAGACAAGGTCGGCAGGTGAGCACTGAAGATCCTCCTTCACTTGTGATCGAAGTGACAGCATTACCCAGGGTAAGTTGTCTATCCAAGATTGTTGATTACTAGCGTTGAAACTAGTTAAAGCGGCTTTTTAGCTGACGGTGAAAACGCTCCACCAAGCCGTTAGCACAGGGATGGTAAGCTGTGGTAGAAATGTGTTTTGCTCCTAGGAGATTGATAAATTCCCTAAAAAGGGTGGACTGGAATTGTGGGCCGCGATCTGTTGTTATAACTGATGGGCATCCGAAAAACGAGATCCAATTTTTCAGTAATGCCTTAGCAACAGAATCGGCGGTCGTGGATTGAAGAGGGATAGCAACTGGCCATCTCGAAAATCTGTCGATTATGGTTAAAATATACTGGTGTCCGTGGACTTCCGGCAACGGACTCACCAAGTCGACGTGCAGGTGATGAAATCGTCTGTCTGGCGTAGGAAAATTACCAGGCGGTGACTTGGTATGACGACGTGTCTTTACACGTTGACAAATCACACAGCATTGAGTCCAGCTTTTAATATCGCTGTTCATGTTGGGCCATACAAAGCGTTCAGAAATCATTTTCGATGTGGCTTTGCGACCAGGATGTGAAATTGAGTGAAAATGGTCGAATATTTTCCTCCTCATGCTGACAGGTACCAAGGGTCTGGGAGTGGAAGTACTTGTATCACAAGTGATAGATTTTTCACTGAAGGGTAAAGGTTTCTGTTCTATTTTTAGCGACGAGTCTTGTAACGAGTTGAACAGAGTGATGTCCCTTACTTGTTCGTCTGCTGTTTTCAATGTCCAGTTTGTCTTCAATGGTACTGTTTAACGTAGCTCGTGATAGTGTGTCGGCGACAATGTTGTCACTGCCTGCCACATGCCGTATGTCAGTTGTGAATTGCGATATGAAATCTAATTGCCTATAATCACGAGGATTGTATTTGTCTGATTTAGTATGGAGGGCGAAAACTAGGGGTTTGTGGTCAGTGAAAACTGTGAAGTTTCGTCCCTCCAGGATGTGTCGAAAGTGTCGAATAGAGAGGTATATGGCTAATAATTCACGTGAGAAGGTGCTATACTTCTTCTGTGTCGAAGTAAGCTTGACAGAAAAGAAAGAAATGGGCGTGGTTTGTTTATCGGTATGCTGATGCAAAACCGCTCCAATAGCTTCTGATGACACATCTGTAGTTAATGACAGAGTTGCTTTGTTGTCATCACACAAATATGTTAACTTTGTAAAGTTTGCTAGAGCTTCACGAGAACTGTTAAAAGCAACGAGGGCTTCGTCTGTGAGCGTTATGGGGATGTTCTTCTTCCCTTGACCACGGAGTAGGTTGGTTAGTGGTGCTAATATTTGCGAACAGTTCGGGATGAACTGGCGGTAATAATTTATCAGTCCAAGATATCGACGGAGTTGACGAAGGGTTGTTGGTTGTGGGAATTCTTTCACTGCAGTAACCTTTTCAGGGATCGGCGTGATTCCTGATTCATCAATAACATGCCCGAGGAAATTAAGCTTCGAAACGGCAAATAAACACTTGTCAGGATTTATTTTCAATCCAAAATGCTCTAATCGTTCGAAAACTTGCGTTACGTGACGCACGTGGTCGTCCATGTTGGCACTTGCTATTAGTAAATCATCGATGTAGGCAAATGAGTGGTGTAAACCTCGAAGGGCTTCATCGATTAACCTCTGGAAAGATTGTGCAGCGTTTCGGAGACCGAAAGGCATTCGTAAGAATTCGTAAAGACCAAAGGGTGTCGTTATAGCAGTCTTGTGCACATCCTCCTCGGCAACAGGAATCTGATAAAATGCTTTTCTCAGATCGATTTTTGTAAATAGTTTTGCACCTTGCAGAGAAATTGCAAAATCTGCCAAATTAGGTACAGGATACTTGTCAGGCACTGTTTGTGTGTTTAAACGTCGATAATCGCCGCAGGGTCTCCATGCCCCCTCCTGCGTCTTAGGGACCATGTGGAGTGGAGATGCGAAAGGGCTAGACGAAGGCCGGATAATTCCTAAATCTAACATGTGCTGAAATTCAGCGCGCGCTAGCTTATACTTCTCAGGACTTAACCTGCGCGGCTTGGAAAAGACTGGCGAGCCAAATGTTTGAATTTTGTGTACGGTGTGGTGCTTCACCGTTTCGGTATATGTAAAAGGGCGGATAAGTGAAGGAAATTTGTCCAATATACCTTTGAGAGGGTTGTCTGCTGGCAAAGCGACGCATAGTTTAGTGGAGGTGAGGGTGGAAGTAACTCCATAATTCATAAGATTCGTCGTCTGGTCTAACAGTGTGTGTTTCGACATATCCACGATAAGTTTATAGTGAGCCAAAAAATCTGCGCCTAATATTGGGAACTTGACTTCGGCTACTGTAAATAACCATTGGAATGTTCTCCTCAGGCCTATGTCCAAAGTCATTGATACTTGACCGAAAGTCTGGATTTGTGATCCATTAGCAGCACGTAGGGTTACTGAAGATTTAGTATTTGAAAAACTGGGACTAGGTGGAATAACACTAATTTGTGCACCTGTGTCCACAAGAAACATTTTGTCGGAGTTTCTATCTCTAACGTAGAATAGACGGCTGACATTTCCTATCCCAACAGTAGACGCCGTCTTCATGCGCTGTTGGGAATGGCGTTTCCCGCCTTCTGGCATGACGTAGAAGTCGGTTGTTGTTTGAAATTGCACGGTTTGGTGCATTTTCTCGCCGCCTGTCCAAATTTGCGATGGTACCAGCAATACACATCGTTTCTTCCCCGAGAATTAGATCGGGAACGTCGTCGGGACTTGTATAAGTTGTGAGCTGAGGGTAATCGCTCTCTATACAAACGGTCTATCTGTTCAGATAGCCTATTAATTTGCTGTTGCAGCTTGCTAAATTCGTCCTCACGTGGCGTGTCGCGTAGCGTTGGAGCGTTGACACTGCTGATAGTTGCAGCATCACTTATCTTGTCCGCTATCTCCGCCGTTTTTTCCAAATCTAGGTCTTCTGGTAGTGTAGCTAGGATTTGAGTTGTGTGAGTTGGTAATTTGTCCATCCACAATTTACGAAATAAAGAATCGGACATCGAGTTTTTGCCTAGCAAATTCTTCATTTTTCGCAGTAATTGAGACGGCTTGCTGTCGCCTAACTGCAACGTATTGAACAAGTCATTCAGTTTACGTTCTTGCGACTTCCCCGTCCTGTAGATTATTGCTTCTTTCAGTGTGTCGAAAGGGTTATGTATAGGGACGTTATTTAATAAATCCAACACATCGGACGCAATTTCAGGTGGCAGTTTTCCACTACATAGGCATAACGTACCATTTGGGATTGTATCTTCTTCGCCTGAAATATAGCCTCTAACTGTGCGAACCACACATTGACGTTGGTTGTGTCAAAGACTGGCAAGTTGAGCATCACGGTTGCTTCACTGGCGTTCTGTTCGGCCATGTTGGATATGTTTTTACGCACGTGGTGGACAAGGAAAAATTTTTGGGCGCCAAGTTGAAGTTTTTGTACGTTGAATTCTTTATACTGTGTTTGGCACAATATAAGGTTCACTTCACTTTTGTCTGTTATATTCCTTGAAAGTTGGTGTCACAAACTGTAGTTTGTTTCCGTCGGCGTCACCAATTGTTATGGTGTGATTAGTAGTTGGGTTGATCAAATTAAATGCGGCTGCGTGTTTCAAGATAATCAACATCCATACATTAAATTTTAAACATCAAGGAAAAAAATCAAGCTCAGTGAACATTAATAAAATATTGTATTAACAATGATATACAAATATCAACAATAGTATAAAGAAAGTTGTTCCCCTTTTTCCGTGATAAAAAAAGGGTAAGTTTAGCTAATAAATTTTGAGTACAAAATTGAATGTAATTTAACTACAAGGTTCAATTGAAGTCTTAGCTAAATACAGAATAGTTCCACAGTGTTTTATCAGTGTAGAAAGATGTAATGTTCCTGAGTGATATCAACAGGGATTAGTATGATTACTCGAATGAGTAATAATTAAGAATTAAAATGTCAATATAGCGCCGTGCCGTATTTTCCAAGAATTGAACTGCAACTGGTCTTTTGGTTGATGGCGAAATTCTTTTATATCGATCGGTAGGCTCCGGATAGCTTAGCGCCAGAAATATAGAAAAGATACTAAAATACGCGATTGGTCAGGAAATGGACCAATCCGTGATTTTAGAGAAAAATTCGAATTACTTGCGATGGTTAAATTGTCCTATAATAAATATCATGTATTTATTAACCAATGAGAATTCGAGAAAATGTAGGCGTGGCACTACATTATCAGTAAATTATTTTTTTAAGTTATTTTTGGAGTTTGTTCTGACGAAAACAAAAATAAATAAATGAAAACCATAACTAAAACTGAAAACAGCTCAATTCTCTAGCCTATGTTTTTTAGTGAATTCTTTGCTTTGTTTTTAACAACTTTTAAATTTATTTCTTACCTCGACAAACTATACTGGTCATTTTCATTCCCTATTAAAAACATTCTTGTTATAAGATGTAAAAGAAAATGCATGAATTATGGTGTTAGATTGGATAAATAACGACAACGGTCATTTTTAAGCTCTCATTTTACAAGCCAATTATTGTGAATACATAGATACAACAAGATGACGGTAAAACCTTTACGGTACGTACAAAGTAACAAAACGTTTTAAAAAGATAATTGCTCATAACGAACCGGAATTAGAATAGCGCATGCGTGCTTTTTACCTATTCAAGTCATACAAGTGTGTTACTTCTTAATTGTTTATCAACCTGACACAATTACAACAATGGCTACCTTAACCAGTATTTGGCTTTTTATAACTATGCTTCATACAGGTAACATTTTTCATTCCCAAATTCAAGACATTTATTTTTTAAGCTTTTATAAATCTTATAAAGATATTGTGGTTTAGAAAAGTTAATTCTTGTAACATTTGAGATGTTGATTAGAGCGAGAGAGGGTAGATCTATGGCTGGAGGGTTACACCCGATAAATATTTTTCTTTTCTATGTTTGGTCATTTTCCAAACTTTTTAAAACACTCTTTTGAGAATTTAATTTTTTTTTTTTTTTTGGTAATAAGTGTTGTTCATTTAACATTTTTTTTCACAATTTTTACTTTTGTGATTTGATTTTTCGTTTAGTCTCCAAACTTCGAAAAAAGGTAGGTCACAGGTGGCGGAAGTACATGAAAGAAGAAGAAGAAGAAGAAGAATTTTAGCACAAAAAATGCATTTTTTCTTTATTGTATGTCTTCGGGTTTGTTTTTTTTTTTTTCTGTATGAAAAAAAAAATCAGACGTATATTGATGATTGACAAATATTCTTTCTCTCTGTTTAATGTTTAAATTACAACAAATATTTGTAAAACTAAAGTCTCATTAAGTGTCCGCTTAAACTTTTAAGTTTGTACATATTTTGTTTTTAAATGAAATGTTGGTTAATTTGCAGTATAAAGCACCAAAGTCCCCGTTAATTAGAATGTACCGTTCTAGTGTGAAATTGCCTGATTCAATGAACGGATAAGAAACTGATGATTTCAAAGAAACACCTGAGAGAAAGGTTTACAAAATGTCAACAAAGCATACTTAAAAAAAAAAAATACTTTGATCGTTCTTCTTAATAATAGCGGAAACATTTTGTTTGACGATACAAACTTTGTTTTTATTACATTTTTTTTTCTTTTTAGGAAGTCACTTAATTTCATGAATTATTGATAAATTACATTAGGGCAGGATTTTTTTCATTTGCTATATGCCTTTAATTGTCTTAAGAATATTTTTGGAAAAGAGTTCACCCACGACATCAGAAAAGTTTTCAATTGTTTCTAAATTTAGACCAGTTTAATAATTAAAAAAATCATTAGTTAATAAAGAAAGTTTCAGTTCCACAAAGAAACAACACTTTTAATTAGAAAAAAAGGAATTTAAACAAAAAAAAATATTCATTTATTTTAATTTTTTAAAGCTTCATAAATTACATTTTAGGGTGAGATTCTGTTTCATTAGCAGAAGGACAATATTGTTTTATTATTTGGAAAAAGGTTCAACCATGATATATTTATTTAGAAAATCCTTCAATTGTTTCTATTACGATTTAATTAAAAAAAAAAGCGGTGGGGGGTATTAGTTAATAAAGCTTCAGTCAACAAAAACACTTCTAATTGGCAAAAAAAGGAATTTATACCACAAAAAAATATTCAGTAAAGCTTCATACAATAGGAGAATTGAGTTAACAACATTATTCTACATTTTTTTTTTTTTTTCTTACTTAAGGCAAACTCCATAGTGTCTCCATGTATGTCAGTTTGTATCTAATCTTCATCACAACACACTTTCCCACATTAAATTTTAGATGACATATCAAATAGCAAGCTGAAAATGAATTTAAATCCTCTTGAAGTAATGAGCAGTTTTCTTTGTTGTTGATGCAAATATATAGTTTAGTGTCAGCAGAAAATGATTTAGCAGAGGATTTAATCAGGTCAGTGGTGTCATTTACATAGATCAAGAACAGGATTGGCTCCTAAATGGAGTCATGTGGTACACCACAATAACTTCCCGCCAAGAAGGTAAACCATCTTGCAGAACTATTCTTTGTCTTTGTAAAAGGAGAAATGATTTGATCCAATTTAGAACTTTGCCACGAATACCCCCGCCATGTTGGCTGGGGCTGTAGAATACGCTGACTGCACTTCTGCAGAGGGGTAAGATCCCCCACCCCCAATGGGGCCACCTGTTGGTGCTTGGAAGGAATCCTGGTGGTTAAGCAGTCATTGATTCAGTGACAATGGTCAATGGCTTGCAACACACCACTTTGGCCCTTACTTGGTCTGACGGGCAGGATGGATTTAAAATATCATGCCTTACCAATCTAACCCCAGAAGCCAATAAAAAACAAAGAGGAAGACATTCTATACTTTACCAACAAACTGTTAAATATAGCTGAAAGACATATACCAAAAAGCTCCACCTCTTCAAAATACGACATGCCATGGTTCAATGAGGAATGCCAAAGAAGCTGTGAGACTATGCAGAGCTGCATTAAAGAAATTTAAAATAAATCCAACAACAGAAAACTTAATCACTTATAAAAACAGCAGAGCCAAAGCCCAAAAAATCATCAGACTCCAAATGAAATACATGGCAAAATTACATTGCCAAAATAAATAACACAAAACCAAAAAAAGTATTGGAGATAGTGCAAAAAATAACTGGCAAAAATAGTAATACTCCCATCAAACATCTTATTCACAATAATCAGAAAATATAGCAAATCATCTAGCAGAAACTTTCCCGCAAAATTCATCCGACAAAAACCAAAGCAAAAATTTTCAAATTGTCAAAACAAAAGCAGCAAAAGAAAAAAATCAAATTTCAAAACAAAAATACTAAAAGTTACAACCAACCTTTCTCTACAACAGAACTAAAGGAATCTCTCAACAAGGCCCACAATACTGCAGTTGGACCAGATAAAATTCACTATCAATTCTTAAATGAACTACTTGAAACCTCAATAATTTACCTCCTACAAATCTACAATACTATATGGATAAGTGGTGACATCCCTAAAATATGGAAACAAACCAGTTATACTGATACCAAAACCTTCAAAAGATAATACAAATGCAAAAAACTACAGACCCATTACTCTTAGCATTTGTGTGTGCAAAACACTAGAGAGAATGATCAATGCCAGATTGATTTGGTACCTTGAAAGCAATAAATTGATAACAGAATATCAGCCCTATAGATCATCTGATCCGATTGGGAACATTTATCAGAGAGGCTTCTATTAAAAAAGAACATCTAGTGGCAGTTTATTTTGATCTCAAAAAGGCATATGACACAACATGGAAGTACAGCATAGTAAGAGACCTTAAAAACCTTGGCCTAGAAGGTAGAATGTCTACATTTCTAAAAAAAAACTTCCTACAAGATAGAAGATTTAACGTTATCTTCTCTAAAGAAAAAGAACAAGAAATGGGAGTGCCTCAAGGTAGTGTATTGTCTGTCACGCTATTTAGTATCAAGATAAATGATATTGTAAAAGCCATAAATAGTGGAACAGACTGTGCTATGTTTATAGATGACTTCCTGATATGTTATAGAGCAAAAAACATGAACCCTATAGAAAGACAACTCCAGATCTGCCTTGATAAACTCAATAAATGGACCACAATGATGGACTAAGATTCTCAAAAGAAAAAATGTGTCCACTTCTGCAACCAACATAAACTCCACCTTGACCCAGTACTGAAACTCTACCAAATCAAAAATCACAATTGCAGATCAATACAAATACCTAGGAGTCATTTTTGACTGCAAATTCTCCTTCAGTCCCGATATTAAATACTTGAGAACAAAATGTAATAAAACAATACAATTACTCAGAACCGTAGCACACACTGATTGGAGAAGAAACATTATTGAAATTATATCGCTCTCTAATCAGATCAAAACTTGATTATGGCTGCTTTATATATGGAGCAGCCAGAAAAACATACTTGAAAGAACTAAATACCATACACCACCAAGGACTTAGGCTAGCCCTTGGAGCATATAACACTGCTCCTGTTGAGAGCCTATATACAGAGGCAAATGAACCATCTCTTAAACTAAGACGTGAAAAACTTGTTCTGCAATATTACCTAAAACTCTCATCATGCCTTCTAAATCCAGCTTTCAGTGTTACTTTCCAATCACAGTTCATAGAGCTTTTTAAGCAAAAAGAAATGTCCATCAAACCTTTTGATTTATGGATAAAAAAGATCATAGAAGAAAACCAGATATACAACACAAATTCACAAATCAATTATATCTTCCACACACCTCCTCTAGGTTATAAATCAATCTAAAGTAATTCTTGACCTGAGAAAATATCTGAAATTCAAAACAAACCCAATAGTATACCAATCTGAAATACTCAATATAAAAAATAATTACCCAGACTAGCTTTATGTATATACAGATGGAGCAAAGAATGAAATTGGATGCACTGTCATACTAAAAGATCATAATAAACTGAAAAGAATTGCAAACATAGCTTCCATATATGTTGCCGAAATAATTGCTGTCAATTTGGCACTTGACATAATAACCGCAAATCACCACAATAAATTCATTATTTTCACAGACTCTTTGTCTGCAATTACTGCCTTAAAAAATAAAAAACTTTACTAACCCTTTAAGCACACAAGTACTTAACAGAATATATCATTTATCAAAAAATAATCTTTTGTTGGATCCCAAGCCACATTGGTATACCGGGAAATGACTGGGCAGACTCAGAAGCAAAGAAAGCTATGAAAGATACAATAGCAAAAACAAAAATACCATATACCAATTATAAAGCGGTAGTGAATAAAATTATCTTTAAGAAGTGGCAAAATCATTGGGATAAATACACTAATAACAAACTACAAAACATAAGACCTACCATTGGAGAATAGAACACAAAATACAAGAATAGAAGAGAACAAGTTGTATTGATCTGCCTTCACACCTACATCACCCACCATCATTTACTTCGAGGGCACAGAATCCCCAATATGTACTACATGCTTGAGTGTACAAACTTGAATCAAGTGCGGAAACAATATTACCAAACAAGTAATTTGAAAAAACTCTTTATGGAAATAACACCATGTAGAATACTAGATTTTATAAAAGCAATTGGAATGTACTCAAAAATATGATTGGACGAATAGTACTGCACATTATATTTTTTTTCTACCAAACTGTGCTAAAATCCATTCAAAACAGTCGGCATTAAATAGCCCACTTAGGTTGATATGCTGCAAAACAAAATAACCAACCAACCAAGCCACAAATACCCACTTGCTTTAATTTGAATAGATGTCTTTGAGGTATTACTGTATCAAAAGATTTGGCAAAGTCTAAGTAGATCACATCAGTTTCCATACAGTTTTCCTAGTTCTCAGTCCGGTCATTGAAACATTCCAACAGTTCGCTAATGAAGCTACATTTGGACTGAAAGCCATGTTGATAGAACCTTATAGTTCCATTGACATTTATAAAGTGTACAATTTTATCTTCAATGGTGCATTCAAGCAGTTTGAGAACTTGTGAAACTGGTCTGTAGTTGCCTTTGTTGGCCCAAGAGCACTTCTTGTGCAAGGGAGATATGTTAGTATCATGCCAGTCATGAGGAGTTACTCTTTTTGAATTTATTGGTTGAACAAAATGCACAAAGGAACATTAAAGTTAGGTCACTGCCACAACACATTCACGCTGATTGAATCAGGACCAGATACTTTGATAGCTTTCAATTTTACAAGTTTAGTGCCATGCAGATTAAATTTTTCCCACTTGTGATGAATGCAGCTATCGACTTATTTTTGCATGCTAGCATGCTAGTTACCATTTGTGTCAGTCAGCTGTTGGCTCTCATGCTGGCCAATAGGATCTTCCTTCCTATTCATGACAGCCAGCTATAGGCTCTCAATCTGGCCAGTAGAAAATGGCCGCAAACTACATGAAAACTGCCATAGAAGCATGAAAAAATTGATTATTTCCACTATCGATGGGAGTTGGGAAATGCATAGTCGGTCTTGGCCTTCCCACTAACTTGGAGCATGTGCATGTAAATTTTGGTGCAAATCTGTCAAAAATTGCGGCCGTGCATTTGTTGCACACACACACACACACACACACACACACACATCCTGCCTTTTATAGATAGAGATTTCATATAAAAGGGGAATGACTGCAAAACTTCCCCACTCCCCTTTTATAGGCAAAAGTCCACAAAATGCATGCTGGGATATTTTTCTTAGCCAATAAAATGTGACAGCTTGCATCTTGATATGACAGTCCAGATCTGCCTTATCTACTAGACAGACCCACTGTGTTCACTTGTCCGACCTTGTTTTTGTGTGCAAACACCAACTCACAGTTTGGGAAGTCTTTTACCTTCTTACCTGTTGATTTGCTTTGCATAGATTGCTTGCTTAATACTATTTCATTTTTGCCCTTTTTTTCTTTTTATTGCAAATTTTGTTAATTTTTTGGGGGGGGTAGGGCAGTTCTTATTTATCTTGCATTTTTACAATGGCTTCTAATTCATCAGGTTATGGGCCCAGGAATAGACTCTGCTTTAGTGGTGATGAATCAAAATATGAGCTATGGGAAGTAAAGATTTTGGGTTATATGCTGATCCAGAAATTACACAAAATCATTTTGGCCCCTTTTGATCATCCCAATGACGAAGACCACCATGAAAAAAAATGCAAATGCATGTGCTGAATCAATTCATCATCTATCAAGTAGTCACTTGTTAAACTTGACTATAAAAAGTGTCTGGTATAGTTGCAGAATCTTTTGGGGTTATAAGTAAGGCTATCCACAAGCTCATTTTCATAGAGAGCCTTAGTATCTGTGACGACTTTATTGACCACATAATGAAAGTGTTCATAAAGAATTCAGTCAGCCTTTAAAGCACTCACCTTAGTTTGTATCTTAAATCATCTTCTTACCCTCTTCACTCTATTGATTTGTATCTGGTTCAAGGAGTTATGTGTCTTTTTATTGGGTTTAGTCTCCTTGAGATGTATATATTTATCTAACAAAGTTTTATATATTCTTTTAAATCTGTTTCAATTCATCTCTGTCATTACAACATAGCAAGGCATCCTATACTATATTAGCTTGTTCATGTTTGAAAATGTACAAATAAACTTTGTTGTGTTTTATTGATTTTGGAAATCTGACACCTGTCAAATTAACCATTTTGTGGTCATTTGAACCAAATGAGTGTTCAACATCAATTACAGTTGATACATCACTAACCAGAGCTAAATCTACAATGTTTTTACCTCTAGTCGACTTGTTAGCAACCTGCATAAATATGTTGTCCAATACAGTATCTAAGAACAGTTTACCAAGTTCTTGCAAGGAGGATAAAGAATACCAATTTGTATTCAGACCTTGAGCATTGAAATTGTGTTTTCAGCGATACATGTTCATAGTTCCTCCTGATAGCTACAGCCTTTGCAGAATCTAACTGGATAGATAGATTTGTTTTACATTCCATTTTTGTTCTGTCAAGGACAATGAAAACTCATTCATGGTTATATTCCTCGATGACTGCATGTTTTTTATTTCTGATCTTGGGAGCATTTTCCAATTTTTTTTTCTTGCTCTCATTGTCTTCAAATTTGACTCACATAGGAAGATGATATATCTTTTGTTTTTGTTGTTTATTTGCAAGTACAATATGCAGAGACATAGTTGTCAGTCAGCCAAAGAGCATATAAAGTCTTTGTAATGGAAACTGTTCAGACAATTTGGCTGAAGAAGAAATCTCATCTTTCATGCAACCTCTTTATTTTCTTGTTAATCAAAATTATAAATAAAATTAGAATTCAGCAATCAAAAATGTTTTTTGGTGGTTCTACCACTAAAGCAACAGTCACTAACTCATAAAGAAGAATGCAGTTGAAGCAGTTTATTATGGTGATATTCCTAGAAAATATATGAAATAGTTTGTAAATTAATTGTGACAGGACCCAATCAGTTGTGAGTTGCAGACCCTGTTACACAATACACTATAATTTATATTCAATACCTGGTTAAGCCAGTGGAGAACTTGTGGAGGGGAATTAACAGGAGATAACTGACATGGCACGTGGAACTAGAACAGTCTACCCCAGCAAGCGAAATAAAGGGTTCAATTCAACATTCCAACCACCTGAGAAGGCCAGAGCATACATCAGCCAAAATGTGATAAATATGGCAACAAAGATGAGGACAATCGTCCAAAATATGTAAAAAGTGTGCATATAATACCTCATCTCAGAAATATAGACACAAAAATATCCTAAAAAAATACTTCTCGATTTATTGTTAAAGCCTTAAAATCCTAGATCACCTATTTTGACTATTATTATATGCAGAGATCTCTGGTTTAATAGTTACACCTTTACAAGAACTCAAACAACAAAGATGGTCACTCAGTGTTTGAATGTAATTGTAATGACATAATTATTTTTAATTGGTTAGCAACTGATAGCATTTTAAGTGATATTTTCTGCAATATGATTTTGTTTATTTTCTATTCAAGTAATCAAAATGGTTTTGCAGACCCTGTTACACAATACACTATAATTTATATTGTGCAGTGTAAAACCATCATTCAGAAAATTCAAAGAAATTGCTCTTAATGAAACATTGTTAAAATGGGTAAAAAAAATTGCAAAAATTTTGAGTATCCTACCAAATTGTTTGTATTGTAATTTTGTGAAAGAGAATCTATTTCAAAGTTGGATTTTTAATTTCTCTTGGGTTTATTTTTATCATGAAAGTAACTTTTTTTATAAACAATTATAAAAAATGAGAATGTTAGTCTCTTCAGAATCCTATTATATAAATTTGTATAGAAATTTTGCTAATTTTATTACAATATAAATGTTTATTTTATCTCTTATTATTTTCTTATTTTGTAGCTTTAGCTGTTGACCCTACAGTCTCTATAACAGAACCTGTTGACTATTCTGGTAAGAAGATTGTAACTGCACTTAAGAACTCTGATGTTGCATTGGTATGTGTTGTCACTAACAAAGTGGCAGACAATCAGGTAAGAACATCAGATATTTAAAACCTGTATATATACTTTATAATTTTAAATCTTTTATTAAGAAAAAAGTGCTATTATGTATTTAGATGGATGAAACTAGTATTTAGTAATAGCTGAGCTGATTTTATGAATATCCAGGTGGAAAGCATTCTAGATTTAAAGTTGTCTATTTCTATTTTTTAACTAAATCAAATTTGTATAAGCAATAACAATTTAACTAAATTTCAACCTGTTGTATACTTGGTAGGGTTTAGAGAAAGGAAAAGAGGTTTGAATAATAAATGACCAATTGACTTGGTGGTCTAAATGCAACTGTTTTCTTTTTTTTCTTAATGTCCAAAGCTAGCAGTGTATTTTTAGGGGCTTAGTTTCATATGCTAGTAGCAGCTATATCTACATAGGTTAGTTTTGTATGTTAATAGCTTCCATTCACTGTCCAACTGATAGGAAAGCAAGAACCTGGGAGGGAGATCCACAGATGAGAAGTACAAGAGAAGAAACTATTAGAATATAACTTGGTTACATTTTGTTGTTTCAACAGTAAAATGATGAGACCTAGCTGCCAATCTAGTACTGTGCTTAAATTAATGCTGTTAAAGTAACAAAGAGGAAAGCTCATTGAAACAACTGTCAAGAAAATATTTAGAGAAAAGAAACAGAAGCTACATTACAGTGGTAAGAAAGTGACTGAAGCTGAAATTTCAGGACTGATAACATTGCAGATTCTTTGGATTTTGTCAAGAATCTCAAGATACATAGCAAGAACACAAGTGTAGATGTGGCAGCAATATTAAATGCATTGACAAATGATAAATTTTTAAACATGCAAGATGTATTCTAGTGAAAAAAAATTGTCTTGCATGACACAGTGAACCAACTTTCCTAGCAGCAAACCTAGCAATTGATTCAATATCATAATTCCACTTCATGTCAGTGGAAAATGTGAGACTGAGAAGGTGAAATAAGTTTCTTTCTTGGAGTTTAACATTAGCCATAATGGTGGAAGGCAAAAAGGTTCTCTCAGATGGTTAAAATAGAGCAGTTTCATTTTGGAGGTGTTAAAATTAAGTCATTTCTTGTCCCAGTTAATGGATTGTAGGTCATTTTTGAGATCAGCTGCTAACTTGACTTTATCAAACCAATCACACCATTAAGACAAGCTGTCATCAGCATAGATACAGAGTTGGGAACTGATGACATCAGGAAGGTCATTGATAAGATCACAGCTGTTTGAAGTTTCCTATAGCCCCTCTAAACTTAAATAAAGTCAATTCAGGTTTGCTATGGTAAAAATTTTCTATCCCAAGTAAAAATCATCACAAAAATGGCAACTCATTTTGTCACAGCTTATTTTCTCTGAAAAAATGGATTTTTCATACTTTTAGAAGGGTAAAATATTGAAAAATGACTGTTTTATCATCTGAACAAAATATCAAGGAAACTTTTGATCTGAACCCCATGAAACTAAGTATTTTCTGAAAGCAAACAATGTGTTCTTTCATTTAAATGTAAAATTGGCTGGGGTAAAATGTGAAAAAATAGTGAAAATTTTTCTAGTTCTAAACAAAAGATTTCTCCAATAATGGGAAATTAACCATTCTTTTGGAAAATCAAAAAGCCTAAATCATAATCATACTCTTTCAGGCATAAAATTGAGAGTTTAAAGGAAAACAACATTCCTAGGGGGTCAAAATGTGACAGTCTGTTGGTAATTTTCAATTATATAGCCGCCAGGGGTTTAAAAAAATTGACACCCAGCCATGGAAATCTTTAGTAAAAGGTGAAAGATTTATCCTCAATTTCTGTCCACCGGAAACCAGGGTTTTTTTTTCTTTTCATTTTTTTTTTTTTCCTAAAAAGAAATAGCATCGATAAAGAAAATTAAACCAAATTGACTTTGACATGTCTGGGTCAAAGGCCAGACAGCCAGTCTATATTAGAAGAAGCTGTCATTGTCAACTTGTAAATCACACCACTTACAAGATAAGAGCAAAGAGTGAAAAAAAAAAAAGGAGGAATATTGGTAAAAATGGCTTGATGTGTTTTTTTTTTTTTTTTTTTTTCAAACCCATATATAAACAATGGCTTGATGTGTTTTGTTTTGTTTTTTAACACTTTGTGACCTGGGTGATGACAACAACACTTAGCAGACGACATTGTTTTTTTGATGCATGTCTTTCGTATTTCCCATCGGCGGGTCATATAGCGGTTCATTTTATTCAATGATACAATATTCAATACACGAAGTTAAAAATAAAGGATTGAAGTTTGAAAAAAAAATTGTTTTGAAGTGAAAAAAAAATTCTTTTTCATAAAAAAAAAATTCTTTTTCTGAGAATATTCACCATAATTTTTTAATGCTAACCTCCAAGTGACATTTTTCACAGCCAAATCAAAAAATGATTCCATGTGCAAACAATAGTCGTCTGGATCCTCTACCTGGCCCCAAAACATCTAGAAGTTAACTGATTGATCAAAAACTTGTTCCACATAATTGTGTTTTCCACGGTCAGTTTCCATTATTTAATCTTGATGTTATCATTTTCAGACAGCCAAGTAATCAAGGATTCAGGAAAACAGTTTGGCACAGGTTTTCTTTGAGAATTTTACATTCTATGAAGGGTTTAAAATGTTACTGACAAATGGGATTTTTCACCGAATATTCAAGTGCCATCTTGGATTTTCCTATAGGACAAAAACAAGTGTTTTAAACGTATGTAGAATAGAGCCCTAGGGGACACCTACATTAGCGTGAAAAGATCTAGATGAGTGCCGTTCAATGCGACAACATTACATGGTTTGTTAAAGATTGGATCAAATCAAAAATTCAGATGGAGACACCATATTCCTTCAGCTTGTGAACCAGACGAGCACACTAAACTCTGTCAAATGCCTTAAAGATATCTAAAGCCACAGCTCAAGCATCGCCATTTTTATCTAAAGCTTGACAAACTTTCAGTAATAAACATTAATACATCAGCAGTTGACCTAGAGAAGCAAAAGCCATATTGTTCATCTGAGAGAAGACTGTAAAGTGAGATGCTTAACCAATTCAGAGTTGATTAGAGCCTCAAGTACTTTGCCAAAAAGAAGTAGAAAACTAATAGGCCAATAATTTGAAGAATCAGAAGGTTCACCAAAGTTCTTAAGAGTAAGAATTACAGAAGAGGATCAAATACTTGATTTACTTATTGGATCATCTGAGCAGAATATATAGGCAGATGCTTGAAATCTTATTTGCCATTTCTTCTGTCTGTTGTTCTGACCTTATTCCATATAGGTTGATATGATTTCCACTCTCTCTACACATGATTAGTTATACCAGTCTGTGTTTATAGCTTTCTTGTTTTCCTCAAGTCTTATTCATAGAAGGCACCCAATTTCATCTTTATGCTCTGTCACAGTTGTATTAAATATTATATGTCATTCTTCTTCATGGTTTTTTTTCAGTGTTTTTTTTTTTTTTTTTTTTACTCTGATGTAACAGGTAACCACTTTTAAATACTAGCCTGATGTACTGATTGTATTTTCTCTGATATATACAAAAGTAACTTTGACCACTTTTTGTGCATTTTCTATTATACCATTGCTAGTGGTCCTGCTGACATTGTATGTGCAGGGTAATCAGTGTTGTAAGCCGTAAAGGATCCCCTTGTTTTATATTGTATCATAATTAACATTTTTAGCATTCTAATTAACATTTCTGATGTCTCTTTTCCTTGAAGAGGTGATTTGGTTACTATAGTATCAGCTTGGGAGATTCTAACATTTTTATCTCCATCACAAAAAAAAGTCTTAAATAACATCATGAATATTTTGATCTATTGCAGGTGCCATTCAATAATTATAGTTAAGTTGATGATCACGTTGCTGGGCATACCCTCAACTTAGCCATTTTCTAAGAAATGCCTTGTCTGTCACCTCTGTTGCAACCTCAGCAACCACACTGATATTTTTATCCAAGCGGCTGTATCTGCTCCTCTGATCCACAGAAGTCCAACATCTGAAGAGAACTAGAATAAAGTTAAAAAGAGTCAGTAGCCTCAGATAAGCTATTGCTGGGTTACTTTAAGTCTATTTGCAACACTGAGAAAAATACTCATTTCACTAGTATGAATGAGAGAAACTTTAGAAATCAGAGTAAGGCAGCTTACCTTATCTGTTGTCCTTTTAGTTTGGATGTTAACATGATCAAAACAACTCACTTCATTTGTGAGGCTATAGATGTGTGCTGGCCAGTGACTTTGTCATTTATTCAGCATATGATATATAGCAAATAATGAAAAGAGCATTTATTTTAAACAACAAATATTTTTCATATAATCTCCTTTGTCAATGTACTTAATATAATGCTTCTTAACTGCATACAGGTGGTGATGAAAAGTTCTTGGCTAGATCAAGTGCCCAAAATCTGACCAAATAACCAAACATTAGATTTATTTTATGTTTTTGCAACAGCATCTTGGTCAGGCCTTCATAGTGAATATTATACATTGAAAATTTTTATCAAAATTCAATAAATGTATCAGGTTACAGCCTTCCAATTCACTCTCATTAATTGCACCACATAGTATTTGCTATTTTACTAAACTGATTGACACTGACAAGGGAGGAAAAGTAGTTTCCTTTTTATAAGCTATCTACAACTTGATCCATATTCACTATTTTCAGCAGTAGAACTATTTATATAATTACAAACCTTGCCATTTTGGAAGACAAAATACTCTAAAAAAAAAAAAAAAAGTAATCTGATTAATAATTCAAGTAAAACTATTCATTTTTTAGAAAGATTTCTTTTGATATTTGTTCATCCGTATTGAGCTCTTGGTATTTTATGCATTTTCTCAGGTAACATGGTTTTACCAGAACAAGAATGGATCTGATATAAATATTGGTACTCACACTAGTTCCAGAAACCCTCAAAAGTATACAATTATTACTATGACCCCAACTTCCTGGCGTTTAACAATCCAAAACATCCAGGTCTATGACGAAGGCCCATACATTTGTGGTGTACAGATCCAGACAAAAATCTACAAGAAAGACAACAGAACAGTCATCGTTATTGGTAAGAATTTCATGGTCTCTTACCTGTTTTGTTTAAGATGTTGACAAGAAGAATAAAAACATTTAGGAACCTTAGTAAATGACTGATTTTAATGTGTTCTTAGCATCTCTCAAATTTAATGCAACAAATTAGACAGTGAATTATAAAAGTGAAAATAATCAGTACATACAATGATACAATGAAAACAATCTCTGAAAACCCTGGGCAATAAATAGGTCTCTCCTATTTCTCTTGTGTGCTGATTGAGACTGTTTTTAAGTACGGTTCATATAACCCTGCCTTTTAAATGTAGGAAGGTGATAACAATAGTTTATGATTTTATTGCATAAAGATGAAGTTGATAAAATGGAACTGACAGTATGAATAATTACCACCTGAAAACTGACCATTTTAAAACAATTTTCACAGATTGGTTAAGAGCTGAGACCAATACAGTAAATAGAGGAGGAGGTGTCCATGTTTGTCGTCTACATTTTAGAACAAGTACTGATTAGTTGGATCTGATCAGTATTAGAAAAGTATCTCATAATTTCTTGATATTACTAATTTTGAGTAGGTTTCAGTAGCATAGGTTTACTTTATAAAGGCAACATCAGAAAAAAAAAAAACTAGACAAATTTCAAGTTTGTGTTCCCTGCAATAACTTGAAGCTTAGATCAAGTGTTTCCATGTTTGCTTCATAACGGTCTGGTTTAGTATTCAACATTCATGGTCAGAAAACTTTGACAGACAATATCCACTGTTCAAGTTAACCAGCAAAAATTTGTTCTTGCTGTTACAACACTCAACTTCTCATTGTTCTTCCTGCATTCAGGTTTGTGTTTAAAACTAAATCACAGTTGATATCATGGTACTGGCATAATCTTAAAAAATGTAATTTATATTATTGATTATTTGATAGCTGTGCGTATGCAATATGTTTAATTTAAGACTATTTAACAAATAGAATTTTAATTAAACATTAATGAATTTAAAATATTTTTAAACTGATTGTTTTTAATCAGAATCAGTGAGTTTTAAACTTTTTCTTACTTTGAAATACCCATTTTATTCAAATTTTAAGAAATTACAAACAAGTTTTAATGTTACAGAAATTATATGAATAAAAACTATTCATCAATTTATTACATATCAGTACAAGGAAGTAAAATCAGTACAACCATTTTAAATTATTTATCAATAGTCATATTCTGCTTTGCAGGCTTTATCCAAATATTTAGCTGAAGTTGATATGATTCTGTGTTTAAATTATTGGCATATGGAAGTAGACTGTGTTGTACAGCCAAACATATATTGTGAATAACATAGTCATCAAAACTGCATTTTGCAAAATAGTTTATTTATTAGATAAACAAAAAGCTTTTCTGCACGAACACTTCAAGTTCCTTAGAATGATTGCAGTATAATGTATCTACCATATAAATATCACCATAGTTTTTGCATTACATTTTGGTTTGACTTTTCCTTATAGATTTAAGTGTACACAGTATGAAAAATGGCCACTGCATATTTAATACAGAACAAACACTGACACTCTTAGACTTTGCCAGGTCAGTAAAATATGCATTAATAGAAAGAAAAAGGGAGTGCATATAAGAACTTCTCCCAATTAAGTTATTATGGTTTGTTAGATTATAAATAGTTGATGTACTGAAATAGTATTGTACATGACCTACTTTTCATATTTTCAGAAAAGCCAAAGATTGTAGATATGAAAACAAGCAGTGACACAAGTGTTGACATTGGAGAAGAATTGATCCTGACTTGTGGTGCCATTGGTCGTCCCACACCTCGAATTAAATGGACCAGACTGGCTGGAGCTGACTTACCAGATGGAGGCAAGGAATTATGGGTAACTTTCCTGTTTTTTCGTTTGATTTTGTGTTTGTTCTTCATGATCTGTCAACTCAATGCTCGATAGATTGATAGAGCATTATGGTCGACATCTGTTGTTGCAACTATCCACAATAACAAAAGTTTGTCACACTCCACTCACAAATCTTCCACTTTATATATGCACACAACAAAACCAGCGAGAGTACCAATACCAAACAACTGCCCACATTTACCATTCAATTCTTATGATCATATTATGCATCTAAGGCATGCAAATTAGTCTGCATAACCACTGGTATTCAAATATGTCAATAGTATCATCTGTATTAGTCAGTCACAGCCAATTCATCAAGAGGACATAATGCATTTGCTGGTAAACACAACTTAAGCCCATCAGAGTGATCTAGGGGAAAATAATTAATTCTCACTACACTAGATGCATCCAATCCAGATTCTCTTTTCTTGTCTCATTTTTCTTTTACACTATCCTTGACCTATTGATCACAGTATCAGCAATTAGGAGGTGACTGTTTTTATCTGGCACTTCTTTGCAAGGGAGATTCTTCACTCTAACTTGATCACTGCCAGAGACTCATTGAACATGCGTGGTTCAATTTCAAGTTTGATCTTACTCACATATCACTTATCAGCTTTGCTCACTACTGATCATTGATCCCATGCTGTTTGAAGATCCTTACATGATGCAGCATGTTCTTTACTAAGACAGATGGTGAACTGATTATACTGCCATTTTTTCTGTCCTATCAGAAGAATCATCCTTTTTTCTTTTTTTTTTCTCCCCACTTTACGAGGAGTATCATCCTTTTTTTCTCTCCACACTCTACCAGGAGTATCATCCTTTTTTATCCCCCCCTACCAGGAGTATCATGCTTCCCCCTCTCTACCAGGAGTATCATGCTTCCCCTCTCTACCAGGAGTATCACACTTCCCCCTCTCTACCAGGAGTATCACACTTTCCCCCTCTCTCTACCAGGAGTATCACGCTTCCCCCTCTCTACCAGGAGTATCATGCTTCCCCTCTCTACCAGGAGTATCATCCTTTTTTTTTTCTCCCCCCTCTACCAGAAGAATCATCCTTTTTTTTCTGATCATTCTGCCAGAAGTATCCTTATTTTTTTCTCCCCACTCTACCAGAAATATAATCTTTATTTTTTCTACTCACTCTGCCAGTAGAATCACCCTTTTCGTTTCTGTTCATTCTGCCTGAAGAATTCTTTTTTTTTCTCCATCCCTCCTCTACAAGAAGAATCATCCTTTTTCTTTTTCTGCCCATTCTGCCTGAAGACTCATCCTTTTTTTTTCTCTCCACTCTACCAGAAGAATCATCCTTTTTTTTTTCTATCCATTCTGCTAGAAGAACCCTCCTTTTTCCCTACTCCACCAGAAAAATATTTAGTTTATTAAATTATAACAAATAAAATGAAGCAGTTGTCCTGTTATGTGTATATATAGTCTGTTGTTTATAATTGCATTTAAAATAAGTGAAAGTCTACTAATATGCGCATTCAATCAGCACTTGCATAAAACCACGTTCAAAAGATGAATGGTTTTTTTTTCTCTTAAGCATTCAGGTTTCAATGGAAGGAAAAAATACATTAAAAAGTCAATTTTATTTTTAAATTTTAATGCATTTCAATGAATATTACATTTTATAAATGATCTTTCCTGATGACTAAAATTAATGCAGGGAATGATTACAAAAGTTCACCAGATTTCTTTATACATGATCATATCAGCAAATTATTTCCATAGCTTGAACTGTACTATCAAAGGAAACCATAAATATACATATTCCTACTTTAACAATCTCATGCTGCACAGGTAGCTTTATAGACATTTAAAACAAGTCTGGTTGCATCATTGTTAAACTGTTGATACTAGTAGCATGGCTTGGCGTTGCCCGTGCTTGATTCAAAAGTCATAAGACTCATACAGAAATCGCTATCACTTGACTTAAAATATTTTTGCCCTTTCTTGCCTTTAAAGGAGTGCCCTTTTCCATGCTGATGTTGCTACATGCCTTACTTCTTGCCTATCTCACACTGCGAATTTTTTCTAAGCTCTTTACTAAACAAAATGAACACAAAACGTAACTGGAAAAACTGAATGAAAAAGAATGTTAACAACAAAGACTTTTTCACACCCAACCCAATTCTGCGGAATCAGAATCAACATTGAGTTTAAGCAAGCGAATGAGCCAATTGGAATAAAATGCCATGCAGTTTTAAATTTTTCCCACTTGTGACAAATGCAGTTATCGATTTTTTTTTTTTTTTTTTTTTTTTTTTTTTTTTTTGCATGCTAGTTAACATTCGTGTCAGTCAGTTGCTGGCCAATAGAATCTTCCTGCCTATTTGTGCAGCCAGCTATTGGCTCTCACTCTGGCCAGTACAAAATGGCCACAAACTACATGAAAACTGCCGTAGAAGCCTGAAAAAATTGATTATTTCCACTATCGATGGGAGTTGGGAAATGCAAAGTCGGCTTTGGCCTTCCCACTAACTTGGAGCATGTGCATGTAAATTTTGGTGCAAATCCGTCAAAAATTGTGGCTGTGCATTCATTACACACACACACATACACACACACATCCTGCCTTTTATAGATAGAGATTGATAGCATTTTAAATCATGACAAATGAAACCCACACAAATTACTGCCTTGAGTTATTGGCTTAATTGGGTTTTAATTGAATTTTAATGCATCAAATATTTTATTTTCATCTTTTATTTTTCAGGCAAATAATCTTCGCATATCCCAAATTGAACCAACTGATCGAGGAAAATATATCTGTCGAGCAAGTAATGAAGCTGGAGAAGATGAAAGAATAGTATCAGTGTTGGTAAGATGTAAGTAGAATTGTCAGTTATTTTTTTTTAATATTTTTTTATTATTCATACTATCAAATAAATCATGTTAACTATCCATGGAAAATATTTTAAGATTAAAGGAGCTAAAAATGTTTCTGATGCTTATTAATGAAATTTTGCATTATACTATTAATACTTGATCCAAAAAATTCAGTAATGATAGCATATGAAGTTGCATTTAAAAGGAAATGCAGAGTTACTTGAGTACAATGATGTAGCTAGAGTGTGTGCCATCCAGGGCAGTCGATGGGTTCACCACCTCTCCCCTACCCACTCCTGATCCCCACAAAAAATACATATTGCACAGTAACACCCTTACTTACATACATACATATATATATATATATATATATATATATATATATATATATATATATATATATATACAATGAATCATTCATACAAAAAGATTAGTAAAGGTAATGATATAAAATGGTGAAATCCTTTTCACCAATCTTTTCAACAAAATTTTACAGTTGCATTAACCTACAAAACACTCGAATGTTATGATCCTTGTTTTTAATAACTACAAGCTGTATAAGGTCTTTTTTTTTTAATCTGCAAGTACTTTCAACTGTACATTCAGTCATCCTCTGGCATGGAAATTATTTTGTTTTTAGTAAAATCCAGATAGCATCAGAGACAAAAAAAAATGCGAATCGAAATGGGTTTTTTTTTTTTTTTTTTTTAAGAAATGTTTTATTGTTAACGGATAAAAACATTTGGAGCGTGCAGTCGCAACGCTAAGGTTGAATTTTTTTGAAAATTTAAGAGTGAATTTTTTACTAATATGGTAATATATATATATATATATATATATATATATATATATATATATATTTAAACATTGTGAGTGGATGCTCATAGTTGAGTAGGCACTCCATTTATATATTAAACAGTATATTTATTTTCACCTACTGGTCTGAAATTAAAGAAAAAATTATGCTATTTATATATTAACTATTAATAGGCACAAAAGACAAAAAAATAGACCAACACATACCCTCAAATGAACTTCTGTCAAGGAAAATAATTGAAATTCATATAACAATCAAGATGTGTCTTCCACACAGAGCAGTGTTGTGGTACTAAAAGTAATACTCTGGATCCATTCACAGGTTTCACATTGTCAACAATGATAAAACAGCCCTGAATACATGCCTGGATAATGTTTATTGTTCAATAACAATCACTTAAATACATATGTCATAGTTTCAGTTACTTGAAATCAAAAAGGTCCTTCAACTGTGAGTAGTGTCCTGAAATTAAAATCACTCTTATTTCAGTACAGCAAACCCAAAATGCCCCCCCTTTATCTACACTACTGCTTGACTAAGAAAGAATGTAAATTCAGTCTTCATATAATTTTTCAATGAATGCTTTGTAATAATATATTAATTAGTAATTGATTTTCCCTGCAATTCTAGAATGTGTTTGTACTGAATACAATAATATTATTGTGCTTTCAAAGGAATTGAATTAAATAATATTTTTCTTGATTTTTTTCAGTCCCTCCTATCATAGATGTAGACCAAAATCCTGTCTATCAGGCTATTGGCTACACAAAAGCTCTAGTCTGCATCATTGAGGCTTATCCTGAAGTTGGGCCAAAGCAGGTGACATGGACAAAAATGGGAGTTCCTTTTGATATGAATTCTGGCAAGTGAGTAAAATTTAATCTTCACCTAGTATAACAGTTTTTTTTTTTTCTGCTTTGCAAAAAAAATTTTTTAATCAATATTTGTGTTTTATACTAAATAATGCCATTCTCTTCTTTTGAATGTGCTTGAGAGAAAAATATTAATGTTTATAAAACTTAGGAACATAGGATAAATGAAAGAAAAGATTGGAAAAAGTTTTTGTGTCAGGTTTCATTTGTTAGGACTTCATCGGACTAGATTCATTTTACCGTGTTATGACTACACATACGCATGAAAGAGAGACACTGGGAATTTTAAATTTAGAAAGTAATTTTTTTAATTTTTTTTGACTGACCACAATTTTCATATAAAAAATGCTACTAAGAGAGACAATAATTCGCTAAGATGAAAATGCCAAAAAGTGCTTTAATCATGAGTTTGTCCATAGTAAATGTGCATCCCGGTTCTTACATTTCATCATCCCTGGTGTATCTTCTGTTGTCACAATGTGAGATATTTAATCACAAAGATGATAAAAAGAATCTAGATGAAATTTGCTAGATTGTATACAAAAACAATTTGTCATACATCTTTTCTTTCAAGACTATTCTTGATATATAAAAAAATATATATCATTATCCCATAGGATTAATAGAAACTGCTTTGTTAGCTTGCATATAAAATAATCCTAAGACTTCAGCTTTTATCTAACACTTTCGCCCCAGCCTTTCAACTTCCGACGTCTTACTCTCTGGGTTGAGGTGTCTACACGGTCTTAACCAAACTTAAGGGAGTGACCGTAGGCCCCCTGAGCATCTATAGATCATCCAACCGGTCCACTGGTTTAATCCTAGTTCCTGCCCACGTTGTGTTTGGTTTGATCCAGAAAGCAGAAGTGATATTTATCCATTCACAGTTGACTGGAGATGTAGACACAGCTGAAGAGTCTGTGCTAAGAATTTTAGAATGCACCAAAAAAATATATATACCTGCAGAAAGCCAAACAAACAACTATTCAATGGTTGAATTGTTAATGTCTTTTATATAGCAGAAAAGAATAGTATAGAAAAGAAACGGGTTACAGAAAAGAAAATTATTTGACATAAAACTCATACACTGGATTCTAGACACAGAGAGAGTGGGTTTTGATTAACTTGTTAAATCATCTTATGCGACTCTTGCGATGGAGAGATAAAGATTTCTGTGTACGGCTTAGTTTATAGTTGCATTCCTCCTCGGCAGTAGTAACAGTAGTAGTAATCTTCGTGGTAGCTGAAGCGTTGGTACTTATATTAACAGTACATGTTGGCAGGAGTTTAGTTTCAATCTCTGACATCACTTTTGTACTTCTTCGAGCCTTCAATTCAACTCTGTTCACTTTCAATCTCCGATATCTCTCCACCCAGCTCGACTTCACTTGAAGACAGACGAGCAAAAACCAACCTTTGGTTGTTGTAGCTTGTTCAACATTTCCATTTCCAGTGGTAGTAATAATGGTAGCAGTAGCAGTCTTAGATTGTTGGAGGAGTAATTTGCTTCTTCGTACTTATATCAACAACATATGTTGTTGGGCGTTTGGTTCCAATCTCTGACGTCACTTTCAATTTCCGACCTCTTTCCACCCTGCTCGACTGCTTTTGACAGCAGCCGAGCCAACCACTCTCTCAAAAAGATTTCTGTAGCACTGCGACCCGTAACGGCTGTCTGCAGGTGCCCATGCATGTGACGGCACGCAGCGACGATGACGTGCTGACCGATCATGGCCTCACCTGTCTCGCTTGACCATCTGCTTCTTCAGCATAACTACGCGTTTATATAGATAAATCTGGTTATTGTAAATTGACCCTTGGCCCGCACTCGATTATCATGAATGCCATTTTCAGCCCCAAATCACGTGAATTTCAAAGTTATCATAGCCTTAGTAAGCTCTTTCTCAAATTTTAACTGATAAGACTTATTTCGATCATTTCCATTGTCTTTTCAACGACCCAATTCTAAATGGGCTAGATCAGATTTCCATCAGTAAACAAAATTTTTCTGCTCTAATTTCGCTGTTCAAATCTACTCCAATTTCAATAAAAAGAATAGTGTGTGTTTTCCAAACTCTCTCTGTTACATTTATCCTTGTGCAGTATTTCTTTACTGGCAGTAGCAGACTTCCAAGCTTATTTTCTCATATGCAGAGTTGTAAGATGTGACTTACTTCCACCATGTTACATTGTCATGGAAAACAGAGCATACTCAATTTAGGAGAGTCTACACAACATGAACAAGCTTTTATTAGATACAAGGAAGAGAGAGTGAGAGGATTTAGAAAGAGAAAAGGGATGCAATTCCTCTTGGCTGAATTTATGTCCTGGGTGTATTGATAAACTACATCTGGCAGCAAGGCCTTTGATCGAGAAATTTTGAGGAGCATGGAACCACCTCTTAATTGCTGACCAAGGGTGGTAGCACCTGTTAGGGTCTCAGATATGAGCAAATAGTTAAACACCAAACTATGAAAGTATAAAAAATGATTTTTATAGTGAAAATACCAGCAATACATTTTTGAAAAAGGAAAAAAAATTACTAGCATCTGACTCAACAAAAACCATCTTTACAAAATACGTCAGTGAAACCTGATCTACAAATTGATTTCTTACAAAGAATACATATTCTATTCATACAAACCTATCCTACAAATCTTGTTGACATATCAACCTCAATGGGTTATTTAAATCCATTGAGGTTGATATGCCATAAAACAAAATAAACCAAACATTGACTAAAATGAGTCATGGATTAAAAATGATAACAAATATGCTAGGTGAGTACAATCATATTTAGTGCATGGGTTTTCTATCAAGATGTATATAGGGATTCTTTGATTAGTATGGCTAATATGTACATTAAAAGATATGCATTAATTGAATATAATAACTTATAGGAAATGATGTAATTTGTACCTCAAATTTTAGTCTTATTTCAATTAATTTCTAATTTGCATACTTAATTAAAATACAGGTACATATAAGAAGCTACAATAAAATGCTATGAATTAATGTTTATTAATCTGATTTTTTTACTGAAAAACTTATTTAGAGTGGTTTGCCAGATGGTATTCTTCTGTTCTTCATATAAATGGTGGTATTGAGAAATTGTCCCTTCTATTTTTCTTCAAATTTGTAAGCTTCTGTCTTTATCAGGGACTGCTTCTAAAAATTTTCCTTTAAATTCTTCAATGACCCTGAAAAATTCTAATTCCTTTGTCATCTTAGCTGGCAGGTAGGTAAATATTAAAATCTAAAACAAAAAAATCTAATTTAATTTTTTAAAAAAGTGCCTTATATTATGTATAATATTGGAAATTTTCCAAACATATCATAATCATTAGTATTTTAATCTGAAAATTTTATTTATAATCTTTCCATCATAAATGCATACATCTTTCATATTTCAATATTTTTTAAATGTAAATTTCTGTATCTAATTAAAATCGTCTTTTTAAACAAAAAAATCAGAAATTTCCTTCTAAGGCTTTCAAAATAGACATGAAAAAAGTCAAAATCTTTATTCAAAAAATTTTAATGGAGACAAATATTCAGATATGTATTTTTATTATGAACTATTATAAAATTTATCAGTATATAACCATCCATTTTTTTTAACACCACTGTAATTACTTAGATAACGTAATACATGACAAACAACACAATTACCCATTTCTCATTTTTAAATTTTAGACAATATTTTATTTATTCAGTAACTATAAAAAATCAATTTTTGATTATTATGGTTAAACTGAAGAATGCTTTACCACACTATTATGCATGCACTAATCAAATTTCAGTATAAAATTTTTAGCACATTAATCAAGGGATTTCTGTATTTGATTTTTATCAATAATTTCTTTTTTTGAGATATATAACCAGAGTAAACATGCATAAAGAATTAACCTTGTTGTTTTCAGATGTTTCATAGTAACTTCAAACAGATTGCAACATTCATGAATTTGCTTATTTTGGTTTGTTTATGTTTATAAAAATTACTAAAGATAACTTAACCATTGTAGAGAAAAAAAAAGGCCAATATACACTGGAGACCAAAATTCTTGGGCCACCTTTTGAATTTCAAAGAACCACCTAAAAATTGAAGGTTGTGTACCTTTTTCAAAACGAATTTACTAACTTGCTTTGGACCAGAGGGACTTTCTCTTTATGAAGGTTTTCTTTTTTTCTTTTTTAATCATATATTCAATAATGTTGAAATTAACCCATTACCGCATAGATTTTTTTGAAAATTTTAGCTCTTTTTGCCTAATCTACTAGCTAATGGTAATAGTAGTGCTGGTAGATTTAACATTTTAGGTATTTTCAGCATCCTAGCTTATAAGGCATTAATTAAACCAAACAAGGTATGAAACTTACTCTGGTACTGTATTTTCATTGTTGATTTCTATAGTAGCAGTGATTATGCCTTGAATGAAACCTTTGGTAAATTCCTGTCATTTTGTTTATGACTACTATAGAAACCAACAATGAAAATACATTGCCATAGAGACACATAAATGCACTAAGGAACCTACGAAAAAAATAAAATCTACATCACTCCTCTGACAAGGGAGGTGAGATAGTGATCATGAACAAGAATACATATGTAGAAAAAAATTAATTCACTACACGTGTGTGTGTGTGTGTATTTTTGTTTTTTCCTTTTCATTTTTGTTTTCCCTCTTCCTCCTCTTTTATTCCTTTAATGTCTAGATTCTCACTATGATATTGATATTTACATAAATTTATGTCTAGATCTTCACCTGCTGCTCCTACTTAATTCTCCTCTCTCATTTTTTCTTTTATATTTTCCTTGTTTTCTTTTATTCTTTGAATTTTAAGCTCCTATTTCATTTCCTCACATGTCTAGTTGATAAGACCTACAAGTAAAATTTTATGGGTTGAAATAGCTATTCTGAATGAGGTGATTTTGGATTTCCATTTGATGTAATTTATATGCTCTGTTATAATGAGCTCTTTTTGTTGATCACTTTTAATATTTTATATTATTAGGATTCACTTGGATTATATACCAATGGATTATTTTTATATATTATTATTATTATTACGGTGCGACTCTACATTCATTAGGAATGATGAACATACGCACAATAAATAAAAATAAAAAAGAAGTAAAATAATAAAAAAAAAATATAAACAGAAAGGGGACTCCTTCTCAAGACACCGAGAGAAAAAGAATAATGGATGCCCTTGTGATATCACAGAATATAGCAAGAATGACAGATTTAAATTCACAAACATTTATTTACAAATTATACAAATAGCAAAACTGGCAAAAATAAAATATGTACTTAATGGGTGGAGATAGGAAATTACTAAAATAATTTATATGTGCAACTAGTGAGCATATAACACCTTCAATGTTTGTGAATTTAAATATTTAAGTGGCATTCAAACACTTCTCAATTTCTCAATCCCTCATGCAGATAGTTGACTTCCCCATGCGTTTTGCCCTCAACCTGGCAGGTAAGGCCTCTCTTCTCGATCTGTGTTTTACCTCCATCCCCGAATCTTGTAGCGCCACACAGCTCTGCCCACTTGGTAACTCCGATCACGCCATGGTATCTGTCAACATTTCCTTCAACTCCACACCCCGCAAAGAACCTTCCATCACTAGAACCTCGCTCTACTATCAATGAGCGGATTGGAACTCGTTTCGTGACTTCCTCCGCGATGTCCCCTGGGATGTTGTCTTTACACTCCCTGTCCAAGAATGTGCTTCTGAGGTCTCATCCTGGGTTAAAGCTGGAATCGACGCTTTCATCCCCTCAAGGAAATTTAAGGTCAAGTCGCACTTCTCCCCTTGGTTCTCTGCTGCTTGCTCAGCCGCCATTGCCCATAGGAATCACTTCTTTCACACATTTCGTAGCGGCATGTCGGACTGCAATAGACGTCTCTTTGCCTCCGCCCGTAACGAGTGTAAGTGTGTCCTCAACGAAGCTAAGTCAATATTTGTTGCTCGGATGAAGGAACGTATTGCATCTCGCAAATTTGGCTCCAAAGATTATTGGCGGGTCTGCAAGAGTGTCCTGAACAATAGAAAACCCTCCATACCTCCTTTATTCAACCAGTTCGAGGTCTTGACCTCCTCTACCGACAAGGCTGAATGCTTTGCTCGGAAATTCTCATTTAATTCAACGCTCAACTCCACCGGTGTACCCATACCAGACTTCCCTCCAAGAACTGAGGCCCTATTGAGCGGCTTACACATAACCCCGTCATTGGTACTGGGCATTAGCTCCAACTTAGACCCCCACAAGGCTAGTGGTGGAGATGGCATACCAGCCATTGTCTTGAAGAAATGCGCGCATGAGCTAGCGCCCGCCCTCTCTAAACTCTATAATTACTGCCTCAAGGAATCCTGTTTTCCTGTCTGCTGGAAGTCCTCATCCATTGTTCCTGTGTTTAAGAACTCTGGAGACCCCTCTGACCCCTCTAATTACCATCCTATTAGTCTCCTTCCCCTCTTCGGCAAAGTCTTCGAAGCCCTAATCAATGCCGAAGTGGTTAATCACCTTACATCCCATAATCTGCTCTCAGACAAGCAATATGGTTTCCGCTATGCCCGATCTACAACTGATGTGCTTACAGCCATCACTGAAACCGTCTACCAAGCCCTTCAAAATAACAGTGAGGCTCGTGCCGTGGCCCTCGACATCTCCCAAGCATTCGATAGGGTTTGGCACGCCGGCCTTCTTCGTAAGCTCCAGGGTTATGGTATTACTGGTCGACTGTTTGATCTAATACAATCATTCCTGTCAAAACGAGAATTGAAGGTCGTTCTCAACGGATTCTCCTCCAGTTCCTATCCCACGAACGCAGGTGTTCCCCAAGGCTCTATCCTTGGCCCCACTCTTTTCCTTATTTTCATCAATGACCTTCCTGACGCCATAGATTCCCAAGTTGGTATCTACGCAGATGACACTACAATTTACTCCTGCCTCAAAAACAAATCTAGTGTTGGCAACAAAACTAACCTGGCCGTGCATCTTGAAATGGACCTCCAATCGGTTGTTAACTGGGGCAAGAATTGGCTGGTCAACTTTAACGCCTCAAAAACTAAATTACTCTCCATTAACCACCATAGAGATCCTTCCCTGCCCCCCATTAAAATGTCTGATAATCAACTTCCTGAGAGCAACTCCCTGCGTCTGCTCGGTCTCACGCTGACTACTGACCTGAGATGGAACAAATACATTGAGTCAGTTGCTTCTTCCACTGCGAGGAAAGTTGGCTCTCAGTGCCATGCCAGGAAATTTTTCTCCCCTGAATCGATACTTCAAATATACAAAACAACCATTCGCCCTTGCATGGAGTATTGCTGCCATATATGGGCTGGAGCATCTTCTGCTTACCTCGGAGTTTTTGACAAGATCCAGAGACGGATATGTAATCTAATTGGCCCTGATCTGGCATCTCGTCTGCAGTCACTCCTTCTCCTCATCCTTTCTTCTATCACTCCTATCTGCTCTCACTCCAAATCTTCCGCAACCCCCTGCATCCTAGTGGCTTCACGCCTTGCTTGGGGCGTAATGCTAAAAAAAAAAAAAATATATCAATCAGTCCACAAAGAAAATACAAAGATATTAGAACAAAGGAGTGGCTGATGGAGTCGTCAGCTCAACGTTGAATGTAAATACAAAACAAATGTTCTCCATAAGGGAATATAATGTACTAATTCGGTGTCTCTCATTCTTTCAATTGTCACAGCGGCAAATCTTTCATCTGTCAGAAGCTGGAGAGGTAATGAACTCTTTCTCCTGAAGAAATTCATTCACTTAGATTTCTTTTTTTTTTCTCTTTTCTGTTTTTCTTCTTGTCATCTTCTTCAATCAATCTTTAATATTTGCTGTGAAGTTTTCTGCAAAAATTTTTTTTCTTTCTTTTTTTATATTCTTCAAAATCTCCGATGTATTTTGTGAAGTCTTTCGTGGGCTTCTTCTGTGAAAACACCCAGTGGTTTTTCTTACATACATCTATGTTGCAGTATTTCCTTACAGGCTTGTCATCCATGTGAATATACCATGTCTTTTCTTCGATACCCTCATGTATGGAAAACTGAGTTTAATGCATGTGCTCTAGTAGATGTAAAATGTTCTACTGTAAAGAAAGTCATCTTTTCCATAGGAAAATTCAAACAAGTCCCATGATTTAGCCCAGGAAAGGTTGGAAGTCACATGCCAGGAACTCAATGTCAGACACCAGAAAGCCACAAGATATGGGCTGTGATGGGTGGGTAGGTGCAAAACCAAAGAAATGAAATCTATTTTGTTTAAAAGTACATTGTGGACTTTGATGAAAATTAAAACAATTTTCTTTTTCCTGTGGACTGAGAACTAAAGTGAAAATATAAAAATAAAAATGCATGTCCACTCGCTGGTTGCATATTTTATATACTTGTAAAATTACTACTCGACGTATTGGTCATACATCACAACATATATATATATATATATACACACACACACACACACACACTATAAAAGTTAACAAAAAATATTGTTGTTACATGTATGACAGTGCTAGTTGATTTGTGTTGATCATTTTAGGCAAACCTTTATTCAGTTTCTGTTGTCTAAATGTTAAATATGCACAATTTGATTTACATAATCAAAATAGACTTATAAATATACATACATGGAATATGCAAATATTAATGCTCACACACCATCGTTACTAGTTATTGGTAAATTATTTTAATTTTTTTAGGATTTCAAAATTCAGATAATTTTCTCAAATTTAGCAAATAAAGGTATAAGTAAATGGAAAATTCAAACTTTGTAGGCATCATCTGCTTTTCAAAATTCAACAAACAAAATCCCCTTGAGAAGCTTAGGCAATGATATATTAATAAGAATTTTCTCTGCACATTTATTCTGGGTCCATTTTGTAATCCTGATAAGTATCTAAAAAGAAATACCCCAAAATATGCAGGTAATTAAAAAGTTATCTTTGTTCATACGGGCTTGTATATTTTGCAGCTATGAGATAAAACACATTGTTGGAGCCTTCAATAGAATTACCAGCAAATTTGTAATAAAACGAGTAATGAGTGAGGATTATGGTGTCTATATTTGCAAGGCTAACAATGCAAAAGGAGTTCGTGAGAAGAAAATCTCTTTAGAAGGTATGTAATTCAAAACATTTTTCTTGAATAGTTTTTATGCTTCTTCTGTATAAATGGTATTAAAGTTCTGATATTTATTAAAAGTTTTTAAGTCTATTTTTTTTATTTAATCCAATACAAGGCCCAACAGCCACTCAAGGTAGAGTGTTATTATATGGTATTGTCTGAGCGTTAGAAAGAGCAAGAAGTGAAGTTCTTGGGACCATGAAGGAAAGATTAAGTTATCTCTAGATTTGAAGAGGTCAAGATTTAATTAGTGGATAAGATTTTGAGTTTAGTCGTAGACATTAGTCTGGAAGTAGACTTTACAAGGAACTGGAAACCCAATCCTAGACAAGATTAGGTGTTATTCATCAAGTACAGTGGTGTCCCAACATCCACAAGGGATACATTCCAAGATTGTATTACATATCATACACTACAGATTGTACCATATATCATACACTGCAGGCAAAAAGTTTGTGGCCTGCCCTGCATTTCTTTAATAAAAAACACCTTAAAATGTTAATTTTTGTATTTTTGAAAGTAAAACGTAAAATTTCAGTAATTATAGTGTATTTACTTCTATTTTGACAAAAAATAAGCACTTAACTATAAAAAAAATGATCATACAACACCATCATATTTTGCTTTTGTCAATAAAACCACCATCCTAATTACTTTTTTGCAAATTCTTGGCATTTTTTCCAACAGTTTTCAAAAAAAAAATAAAGGGAAGACTTTTCCAAACAATCTTCAATATTTAAACATTTTTAAAACATTACATAGAATTGCAAATTTAGGCAAGTCTCACACTTATAATAAATCGAATTTACTAAATATAATTTGTGATTTATAATAGAATTTCTCTGTTGCAGTTTATAAATTATTTTTACCATTTCCTCTTTGATCTTATCACCTCAGTATTTCTTATTGGTTTGCGCAACCCATTAAAGGAGATAATATAGTAAAATTTAAAATTCAACATGCATTTTTTTTTTTTTGTATTGAGCTACTACTTTCAATATTCAAACTCTTTTTTTCAAATTGTGATAGATATTTAGTGATTTGACATACCACATTTGATAACTTCACTGCCTGCTATAATATTGTAAATTTATTGGAAAATGGCAAGAATAATTTACAAAACCCAACTCGTTTTTTTTTGGGGGGGGGCATGACGACTGTGCATATATAGCAAAATAATGAAGACATTTGTTGATAGTCCTTTTATCTAATATGGTGCACACTGCAGACACCTTGTTTACTTCCTTTTTACTGACCTTCTGAATCATTTCATTTAGAATCATTGACTTTGTGTTTATGAAATTGTTCCATTGCCATTGCTTTAGAACTTTCTGCAGTTTTAGTGTTGACTTAGATCTTTCCTTGTCTCTTTCAAGATGTTTCCTACAAAACAGAAATTCTACTGAAATATTTGAAAAATATGTTCATGAAAATTTTCTTTCTTCCAGAGGTTTCAGAACCAACACCAGATTCAACTGGAAGAATCAACAGCAGTTCAGCAAACTTGATGGATGTAATATTGCTGCTGTTAGGTATTGTTTTGTATGATACACTGTCCATCAGGTTATAAGGTTTCAATTATTGACAAAAACACTTTTTTTTTTCTCATTATTTTGATGTTTGCACTCCTGATATAGACTCAACAGACTGCATTTGTTTCGGTGTCATTCATTTAGTTTTATTTTTTTAATTTTCATTGTATACTTATTTTAAATCAAAAATTTCTTAATTCTATTTTGCTAGTTCATTTAAGATATGTGTGTAATATTACAAAACCTTACAAAATCACGAATTCATTCAGTAGGAATTCAAAATTGATAGTTTTGATGAAAGTTTGAATTCTTTTCTTAACTTTTAATTTCCAGGCTAGTATTTAGCTGGATGGAATAATTTTTTTTTTTTTAAGATAAAAATAAAGTGATTACAAGAAGATAAAACTTTACAAAATTGACTGTTTTGTTCCCTCCAAAATTTGATTGGGGGGAGACGGCTTGCAACTCAAGTTTAACAGCCTTTAAGAAAAAGTTTTTTTCATAGTTACTTGCTGCATATTCTGATGATCTTTGTTTTATTATTACAAGTTTTAATTTTTTTTTATTTTTTTTTAATCAGGACTTTTACTCATACTTTGACATTTCAAATCTATTGATGATAAAAATGTCTTTTTATATTTTCAAAATCAGTCTTTTGGCCAATATGTGTTGGTTAATAGGAATTTCATTGTGAAAACATTAGCTTGCATAATAAAATATGATATCATGTATTATTGGCAGTTTTATCTGTTTCTTTTCAAACCAGATTTATTGTTAAATATTTTGTAGCAAGTAGCATGGAAAGAATGCTTTTCCTGAAATTGTTAGTATTGTTCTTGATATAAAAGTTCACAGAATAAAATATTATCTATGTATATAATTAACTTTTATGTAAATGGAAGAATTCAAATTTCTCGTTTTTTTTTTTCTTTTTCTTTTTTTTTTTTTTAGATTCATGTTTTCTTGCCTCAATCCCTGTTTTTTTTTTAAACATTTCAGACTAACAAGAAATTTAAAACTTTACAAAGAATTGTAAATAATCAGTCAAGGATTTATTTTAGTATTTCAATTTGTATTTACATTTTGATAAATGTTTTGAAATATTTTCTTTTAGTTTTTGCTGCTGAATGAATTTTATTGATTTGAGTTTGACATTGTCAGATTTTATTATGCAAGTCAGTATTTTTGCATCAAAATAATCAATTGATATTGGTAAATGTCTTGAAAATGTATTTATATAAGCAATATATCTTGAGTTTCAGTTTATAATACCTATTTCCTTATTTTAAATATTTATAACGTTATCAATGAGTTTTATTATGCAAATAAAATGCAACATAAATTTTTATTTATAACTCCAAAATATGTAGGCAAATGAAACATGGAAAAATGTAGCTGTAAATTATTATTTGACATATTAATATGGTCTCCATGATATTCTATAACAGTCATCAGTTTTTTTATACAATTTTAACTTTTCTACTCTTTCAACTTTACCATTTCTCAATTCTTTGACTGAATATTGTTTTCCATTCTCTTTTAATGATTGACCACAGGTTTTCTATTGGATTAATATCTGGAAAAGTTATGAACAATCCCATTACTATATTTGAATATCTTGACAAATAAGATTTTAATCATCAGCTATACAGAATGAGAAAAGCCATTGTCTTACATGAATACATTCTTTAGCTTAAAACTTGGTTGGGCCCTGCACCACTCAAAAAACATCTTGTCCAAGAATTTACAATAATTCTCTGTATTTATCTTGGTATCATCCTCCATTTTTGAATGAATCTATAATTTTACTGTTGTCTTTTAAGTCCTGTTGATTGACTATTTTCATAAGGGATTCAACCTAGCTATCTTGTCCCTCAAATGTAGCTCAACACTCTTCAGGAAAATACTTTTGAGAAATTAGTTTACAAATACTTCTTCAGACAGTTGAGGTGGTGCTAGTTTGGTTATATTTCATGTTATTAATATTCAACATTTTTCTGTTAACATCTGTAACAGCAGTTTTTTCAACTATTTTCTTGCTGGTTAATCTAATTTTTTTAATTATTACTTTTTTAATTTTTCTAATTTTTTGTGACTTCTTAAATATTTTTCTTGCTCTTATATTACCAATGTTTTTAACCATTCATTAATCTCAGTTCTTTTTGTAATTAACAACTTTGTGTTCCCAACATTCTATAACTTTATTTCTTTTTTTTCTTTTGAGTTTATATTTTCTTTACAACCCATAGCACATTTACAGATCTGAAAGTAAAAAATCAATAACAATACCAATTTCCAGTATGATGAACAACCTTAAAGTTGCTTAATACTTTCATACCATCAAATAAGTTATAAATATTTGTAATAAAAACATATAAACTAAAATTAACCTAGTGTATTTATCATATAAATATGCCCCTCAAAATTTACCAATATTAGTTGATTAATACCAATCTCATTGGAAAAACAATGAATTGCATAATAAAATCTGACATTTTGTTAGTTTGTGACTTTTCTTTATATAACACAAGTAATGACAGTTATAAACAAATTGGTATTATCAGTAGTGCAGCTAACTAATTATTTTTTCTATTCTTGTTTTCATTAAATTTATAAAAAATGTACAATTTTAAAATTAATAGACACTTATCTCTTGTTTTAATTAACAAGAATCACAATATACATAAAGCCATAAATTTTAGTTCAGGTTTTCAAACTCAGATTCTGAGTCCTAAGAATTTAAAAAAAAATTATACATGCTTCATTTGCATATACATAAGCATATCCCTAACAAACAAAATTATTTGTGCCAAAAACAATACTATGATTTGGGTATTTAGTCAGAGTAGAAAATATATAAAATAAAATCTGTCAACCTCTAGTGATCATAAAAAGGTGCTATTGATCAAATAATTTACCAAAATAAAATAAATTGTAAATTGGTAAGTTCTACAATATGAGCTTCTCATATTTTTATACTGTTTTTATATTCAATCTTTGTTTTTATTATTCTGAAGAAGATAGCATAATTTCTGAAATAATCAAGATTATAGCAATGTTGATCTACAGTATTGATATTATTTTTCAATTAAAATGCATTTCTCTCAGGCTTACATTCAAGAAGTTTATTAAACACCTAGTAAAGAGGGAATATGTATCCTGTGGTGATTGTAATAATTTTTAAAACCTTAAAACAAGTATTTTTGTTACTTTTGAGCTTTATTTTACTTTCAATGTAGAAAGCCAAGCTTATTTTCATTGCTTTAAAAATTTTAATTTCAAATTAAGCAGACACAAGCACAAGCATCTTTAAATCACAACTTGAGAATAATTACTTTTTATAGAAGAGACTTTTGTGATTATTTTTATGGAAACTATTAAAAATTTAGGAATATTTGTTTAGATTATTAAAGATCAAAAATTTTATTAAAAAGAATTTAAGAAGATGAAAAAAATCTTTTATACATGCAAAATATTCAAAACTTTTGTAAATAGCTCTTCTGACAATTTCCTGTATCAGATTTTTTTGTACGTTTTTGTAAAATATATATCCAAAATAAAAATTTCATTTATTATTTTCTTTCTTTTTAATCATTTCACCCCAAGCAAGGTGATAATTCCACTAAGATGCAAGGAACTACTGGGAGTTATAGAGAATTAAAGACTTTAGAAGGAACTAGAAACTCAATGCTAAACAAGAGACAAGCGATATTCATGTTCAAAATTAAATTTTTTTATTCATTTATAAATATCAGGAAATTTATCCTGATTGTTAATTATTGTAATCTGTTTCTTGTATAAAGGAAATACAGATATTGGTTTTTGTAAATATTTGAAACTTACTGAATTCTAGAACATTTGTTTGGTTATTTTTTCTCTTGAAAGAAAAAAACAGACCCTACTTTCATCAAAAATTTAACACTGACTAAAATCTCATCTTTTCTTTTTTTTTCTTCTCTGCTCTCTATTGACAATGCTCACTTTCAAATGCTAAATTTTTAATAAATACCAATATTTTTTATGACTTTTGTGGTTGATTAAAAGTTAAAAATGATTATATATTTTATTAAAGTTTTGTAATATGGCATGAATATCACATATGGTGATGATGATATCCATTAAAAAAGATCATTATTTAATTCTTGAATTAAATTAACACAAAACAGATGCATACTAAAGTTTATAACTATCTTCCTAGAAAATATAATCTTGTGTGTGTGTATATATATATATATATATATATATATATATATATAATCTTACTAGCAAATTTAAGAGCCTGATTTGGTGATGCACTTTGTGGTTGGATCGATCTGGGCGTGTTTGGTCTGGCGATGGTTTCTCCTGTTATGTAATATCAATCTTCCTATATGGCAGTGAATGTTGAACCATTTCTTCAAAGATGAAGAAGCTGTAAGCAACAGAACTGGTTTTATGGGAGGATGCTGAGAATACAATGTAAGTAACAAAAGAGTCTTAAGGAAATTGGAAACAAAAAGGACACTTACATTCAAAATCAGAAAGAGAAGGCTTGGAGAATTTAACTCACAAGAAATTCAAAGCAGAATGGACAGGGGGAATCAGTTGGTCACCTGCCTGACCAACTTACATGAATGGAGAGTGGAATGGGTGTGTGGAATGGTAAAATCACAAACATTATTGAGAACTACAAGGATAAAAAGTTGTGCAGAGCCATGAACACACCCATTTCCTTAAGGGACACTCTACACATTTTAATCTAATCACCTGAAGATGATAGAAAATTACATTATACATCATGTTTTGTATAAGTTTCTGCAATTTCTGATACAAATCGTTCAGAAATACACATACCCTGATATTGTAGTGTGGTCTGATTCAAAGTGTGTCCTTCAAGAAGACTTAATGGTTCCATGGGAGGAGAACAGGGAGGAAATGCATGAGTGAAAGAAAAACTGTTGTGCTCCAACTACATAGAAAAAGGGTGGACATGCCTTGAGGTCATGCATTCCTTGGATGGTCAATTGTTTCCTTCTTTTTGAAGATGGGTATCACTAGC